CAAGGATTCCTTATTGATGAGGACCAGAGAGACTGCAAGGAAGCCAAGGAAAAGGCAGAGACTATAATGGCCCTCCTGGAGGAATCCAAGTTATCGCAGACAAAAGAAAATTTACTACCCCTTCAGGGACAACTTTGGCACCTTTGGTGTAAGAAGGACAAAGAATTCTATCATCTGAGAGAAAAAGGGAATCGGAGCATTGAACAACACAAGAGTGAGATTGAGACGGATAAAAGGATAATTCGATGTCGGCAATTGGAAAAAGCCTTTCCTCTCAATGATTTAATGCGCTCTGTTCTTGAAGTTCTCCAAGAATATTCAGAAACTCATAACAAACTCTACTTTTTGCAGTGGTTAAGTCTGTTTTTTGATAACCTGACTACAGAACACCTGGAAAAGCTACATGAAAAGCAAAGATATTTGTGGTTAATGGTACAAAGAGAAAAGCAAAAGGAACAGAAGAGCAGCTCCCTGACACTCTGGCAGAAGCAGATAGAAGCCATCTCTAGTGAGATTCTTAACTGCACTTTAGGAACTGAGCACCTTCTACGAGAAGTTGGCCAGATATATGAAGCTCTGGAAGAAATTTCCTCCTCTAGAGATAGCCTTTTTCTCTGCCTCCCCCAAATTGCTGCAGACTTGATGGTAGCTGGTGTTCCCATTGAGCTGATGGATGGGGATGCTTCTTATGTGCCTCTAAAGTGGGTGGCGGCTATTTTTGACAAGATCTCAGAGAAACTTGGAGACAAAAGACTGTTTGTTCTCTCTATCCTTGGGCTACAGAGCTCAGGGAAGTCTACCCTACTGAATGCATTGTTTGGGCTGCAGTTCACAGCTAGCGCAGGCAGGTGTACTAAGGGGGCATACATGCAGCTCCTGAAGGTGGAAGAGACATTCACAGAAGAACTTGGCTTTGATTTTGTGCTTGTTGTAGACACAGAAGGACTTCGGGCTCCAGAACTCAACAACAAATCCCAGAATTGGGACAATGAGTTGGCAACCTTCGTCATTGGCCTTGGAAACTTGACTCTGATCAATATTTTTGGGGAGAATCCCTCTGAAATGCAAGATATTCTACAAATAGCCGTCCAAGCCTTTCTAAGGATGAAACAAGTAAAAATCTCCCCCAGTTGCCTCTTTGTCCATCAAAATGTGGGAGAAATTACAGCTAAAGACCAAAACGTGGAAGGACGAAGGTGCTTAGAGCAGAGACTGGATGAAATGGCAGTAACAGCTGCAGAACAAGAAGAGTGCTCAAATGTATCTCACTTCAGTGATGTCATTAAGTTTGATGTCAATAATCATGTCTACTACTTTGCCCACCTCTGGGATGGCAATCCCCCAATGGCCCCTCCTAATCCTCGTTATAGTCACAATGTCCAGGAACTAAAGAGTATAATTATTTTGACGGCCAAACAGGAATCCAGAGGTAGCATCATGAAGATCTCGGATGTCAAATTTAGAGTTCAAGATCTGTGGAAAGCTCTAGTAAATGAGAACTTTATTTTCAGCTTCAGGAACACCAGAGAGATCATGGCCATGAGCAAGCTGGAAACTATGTATAACCATTGGACCTGGGAGCTGAGGAGTCACATGCTGGACTTTCAGAACCAGTTGATCAATCAGATTCAAAATGGGAAAGTTCAGACACTCAAAACAAGTATATTTGAGGCTCCAGTCACAGAAAAGTATACAGCAATTAAGCAAGAACTTGAAAAATATTTTAATGAAGATCCAGACAATGAAATACTGGTTCAGTGGAAATCAAATTTTGAAAATAAACTAATAATCCTTAAAGAGACACTTATTTCAGACACCAGAAGGAAAGCCAATGAACTTATTCATTTAAAAAAAAATCAAGAAAGGCTGGATAAGAAAAAGTCAAGTTATGCAAATGAAATATTGGAAAGGAGCAGAAAGTTGGCTTTAACTGTAAAGGGTAAAGAATTAAATGAAGAAGAATTATATGAAAAATTCAATCCACTTTGGAAAAAATGGGTCTGTGATGTGTCCTCAGATCTTCCTCAAGTCATAGAACCTGACATTGACACAGATTCTGAAAACATTCTTTGGGACTATTTCCAAAAGGAGATAAACATGGTGGACATACTAATGAGAAATTCTGGAGATAAATTTCAAATAAATTACGATGAACATGTAAAAATGAATAAGAAGTATAACTTCATGACTAGAACATTAAAAGTCTGTGATAGGGAATCCATTAATATGACTACTGACCATATTATTTCAAGATTTAATGAAACTATCAACAATATTCATAAGCAACAGTGTGATTACGATACAAGTTATTTTCATGAAATCCTGAGAATAATAGAAGAAGAAGTAAAATCTGCACCTACTGAGGGAAGATACACATTTACAAGCAAATATATCATTGAGTTGTCATTATGCTTATTCCAAAGAGCATCTAAGAGTTTTAAGGAAATGCACAAAGCATTTAAGAGAGCCAATGATCCTGTGAACTATCTGGAGAGGAAGAAAGATGATTTCTTTATGAGTTTTAAGATCTCCTGCCAAGGTGCCACCTCCATCAAAACATTTGTTGATTTTCTTTGGCACAAGCTCACTCCTGCCATCTCTGCCACTATAAGGGGGAAAATGGTCATTAAAATTGCTGGAGCCATGAGAGCCAACTGCCCTGCATTCAATGGAAACAGGGCTAACCTGGAGAAACATGTTCTCATTTCTCTGGCAGAAGAAGAAAACTTTGATAAGTACTGGGAGTACCTTCATTACACAAAATCATTTTTTAGCAGCTATATTGAAAGCCATATTAAACAATACTGTTCAGATGTCGGAAGTGAAAAAATAAAGACTTTTTTAAAAATAAGTTTAGGTGACATCAAGAATGCCATCCTCTCTGCTATTCATGAGTCCACAGCAGTAGCTAAAGATAAAGGCAGCACTGCTTCTGCCTGGTTGGATTTGTTCTGTGATCACCTGGGGAGCAACCTGATCTTTCCAAGAAGAGACCTGATAAGCATCGAGCACCAGGAGATAAAGGATATGGAGTTTCTGAAAGAAGCCATGAGTGCAGCTTTGGATCCTGCAATGAAGAAGGTAGAAGAGGACTGCTCAAGTAAGCCCATAGATGAAATGGTTCCTGACATTGAGAAAATTCTCTCTGAACATCTCTGTGGCTGCTGGAAACAGTGTCCTTTGTGTAATGCAATTTGTACAAACACCATTCCCCACCATGAGGGAGACCACAGTGTGCCATTCCACCGTCCTCAGGCTGTCAGTGGATGGCATAAGCATAAAACAGACCACTTTGTCATTGACTGCTGTACTAGTTCAGTAGCAAGTGACCGCTTCATGCTTTTAGGAAATAACCAAGAAATCCCATATAAGAATTATCGGCAGGCAGGAGGGGATTATGCCACATGGAGCATCACTCCAGACTCATCCACCCAGTCATACTGGAAATGGTTTGTCTCACATTTCAGATCAAAACTAGAGGAAAAATACCAGAAAAAATTTATAGACACAGGTGAAATCCCAGAGGCATGGGCCAAAATCACAAAGGAGGATGTGCTCAATGACTTGAAAGAGCAATAATATGCAATGAGTAACCCAATATCAAAGAGTTACAGCATACCTAAATAATTCTAAAACTCCTCCTCCTAACAAGAGTCCCCAGTATTTGCATTTATAGGATGAAATGTATAAAAATCTTGAAGCTTTCCCTATAAAATATTTTTAATCTCTTTGTCTTCTGGTTTAAAATCAAAGTATCATAGCTAGGAAGATGGCTTGGAAGTTATAAGCAGTTCTTGTAGAGGACCTGAGTTCAGTTCCTGGCATCCACTTGGCAGCTCACAGCCATCTGTAACTTCAGTTCCAGGAAATTTGATGCCCTTTTCTGGCCTCACACATGATATATATATAATCAGATAATCATAACAAAAAAATCAATTACCAATATATGTGAAGATATAATAAAATCCATTTAAAACTCTGAAGTCATACTTCAAATCATGAGTATGAATATTTTTGTAGTATATAAACTTAGGGACATTCCTGTCAATTAAGGCAGAGATACCAGAAGGAGCAGGAAAAGAACTACAAGGCCTGTACATATGAAGCTAGCACATCTATAGCATTCTACAACACCAAATCTAATAAGATGTCAGTTACTCACTTATAAATGGACTCTAAAAATTAGAATATAGAATATATAGAAGTAGAGAATATAGTGGCAGCTATCATGGGCTGAGGGGAGTATAAGAGAAAGGAGGCATTGTTCAAAGGACCAAAAGTCTCAGACACAAGGAATAAGTTCTGGTGACCATGGTTAATAATGTGCATTTTGAAACTACTGAAAGAATGAATTTTAAATGTTCTTTCGCCAAAACGTGCTGAGGATGTAAGGTGATGGGTGTGTCTATTTACTTACATGTTTACATACTTATTTGCTCATTTCATAATGTATAAGTATCACTGGATTGAAGCCATGAATAAACATAAAGATCAGTAAAAACATTGAATTTCAAAAATATAAACATTTGGGTTTCTTAAGTGAAGATTGACAATTATACCAAGAAGGTTTTTTATTTGTTTTGTTTGTTTGTTTGGGGGTTTTATTTTGAGAGGGTGTTTCTGTTTTGTTTGTTTGTTTGTTTGTTTGTTTGTTTGTTTGTTTGTTTTGAAACAGGGTCTCATGTAGTGTAACCTGGCCTCAAATTCAGTGTGTAGCTGAAGATGATCCATAACTCTTGATCCACCAGGCCCAATTTATGAGGTGCTAGGGATCAAACCCAGAGCCTTGTTGTGTTAGGCATGCACTCTACCAATTGAGCTACATCTCCAGGTTTGTACTAAGAAGCTTTGAAAGGATTCTATTTCTTAGAGGGTGGGGTATGTGAATATAAGAAAGTCTAGGGGTTGAGATTTGTCTAAAAACTATCTCCTTGAGTTTAACAATGCTTTGCATTTGGATTATGGAGAAAAATCTGTAAAGCATACAATTTTTATCTCACCTTCCCCTCAAAGTTGCAATTCTCTTCATTCCAACACTTCAGTAATATCTGAGAAAACAATTCAACACTTTACATTAGTGATGTGTTACAAGAATCGACAAGAGAGTAAAGGAGAAGTGTGATATTATCCCAGATATTGTCATAATCACTAATATTGATAGTATTATAATAACAGTGCCTGTGGGAACATAGTCACTGTGCCCACACAGGTACCTTAAGAGTGAAATAGTAGATTTCTCATGCTTTTTGAGGGAATAAATTAATCATCATAAATAAAATAGAAACAGTGCAACACAAAGAGCAAGTATGTATAAGCATAAGTTATGACATTTTAATGCCTCTCCTTACTCCTTTCCTTTCAAATAACATTTTATCATTACACACTAATAGGTTTAAACAGCTTCATCCACCCCTCACTAGGAGTAATATTCAATATGACTCCTTGAGAAATCACATTGGACAATATAATTAGTCCTTAATAAATGTAATTATAACTTAATAGTTCAAATGCACTATAGATTATTGAAATTTTTGGAGAAGTTTATTAGTAGTTATAATTAATCAACCAAACATTTAACAAAGTCACTGCAACAATTATTACTTATCAGTATAGAAAATGCTATCTTGCACATGCTCTACTATGTTCATAGCAGCATTATTCATAATAGCCAGAACCTGGAAATAACCTAGATGCACCTCAACTGAAGAATGGATTAAGAAAATGTGGTACATATACACAATGAGTACTACTCAGCAGAGAAAAACAATGACATCATGAAATTTGCAGGCAAATGGATGGAACTAGAAAATATCATCCTGAGTGAGGTAACCCAGATTCAGAAGGACAAACATGGTATGTACTCACTCATAAGTGGATCCTAGATGTAAAGCAAAGGCTAACCAGACTACAATCCACAGCTCCAGAGAAACTAGCTAACAAGAAGGACCTAAAGATGGACACATGATCACCCTGGGAAGGGGAAATAGATGAGATCTCCATGAGTAAACTGGGGATGAGGGGAGAGCAATGTAGGGTAGGGGATGGGGGATGAGAACATAAGGAAATGAGATGGTCAAGCTGGAACAGGCATGGAGTGGGAGAATAATGAAAGAGATACCATGATAGATGGAAACTTCATGGGGATAGGGAGAAATTAGGTGCTAGGGAACTTCCCAGGAATCCACAAGGATGACCCCAGCTTAGACTACTAGCAATAGTGGAGAGGGTACCTAAACTGGCTTACCCCAGTAATCAGATTGGTGAATACCCTAACTGTCATCATAGAGCCTTTCTCCAGTAACTGATGGAAGCAGATGCAGTGATCCATAGCCAAACACAAGGCTGAGCTCTAGGAGTTCAGTCGAAGTAAGAAAAGAGGGATTCTATGAGCAAGGGACATCAAGATCATGATGGGAAAACCTACAGAAACAACCAAACCAAACTAGTGGGAACTCATGAAATTTAGACCAACACCTGTGGAGCCTCCCCACAGGACTGGACTAGGCCCCCTAAGTGAGACAGTTGTATAGCTTGATCTGCTTTAGGGGCCCCCTGGCAGTAGGATCAGGATCTATCCCTGGCTCAAGAGCTGGCTTTTTAGAGCCCACTACCTATGATGGGACATCTTGTTCAGCCTTGAGGCAGGGGGAGGGATTTGGACCTGCCTCAACTGAATATACCAGGCTCTGCTGACTCCCCATGGGAGGCCTTACCTTCTTGAAGGAGGGAATGGGGAGTGGGTTGAGGGGGAAAACTGGAGAGGCGGGAGGAGGGAAGAGGGGGAATATGTGATTGGTATGTAAAATGAATAAAAAATTTCTTAATAAAAAAAGAAAATGCTGTCTTGGATTCCTCAGAAGCATAGTTTTACATACAAGTGATTTATTAAGGAAATGGGGGGCAAGAAGAGAAAAAAAAACAGGTATGGTGGTACATGCTTATCCTAGCACTCAGGATGCAGAGGCAAAGGGATCCAAGGTATGTAGTATCCTGGTCTACATAGAAAGATTCTGTCTCCAAAAAAAAAGAAGAAGAAGAAGGAGAAGAAGAAGAAGGAGAAGGAGAAGGAGAAGGAGAAGGAGAAGGAGAAGGAGAAGGAGAAGGAGAAGGAGAAGGAGAAGGAGAAGGAGAAGGAGAAGGAGAAGGAGAAGGAGAAGGAGAAGGAGAAGGAGAAGGAGAAGGAGAAGGAGAAGGAGAAGGAGAAGGAGAAGGAGAAGGAGAAGAAGAAGAAGAAGAAGAAGAAGAAGAAGAAGAAGAAGAAGAAGAAGAAGAAGAAGAAGAAGAAGAAGAAGAAGAAGAAGGCAGGGAAGAAAGGAAAGGGTACATGAAGTTATAAACTTGTAGGTATAATGTAAGTACTGAGATCTAGGGAAGCTACCTTGCAGTTCTAATTAAGAGCACTAAACTTCAAATTTAAAATGTTTAGCCATGCATATATTCTCATTAGTCGTGTGACCCTGGACCCATCTTGACTTCATTTTCTTCATCTACAAAATGATAACACTCCAGGTATGAGAATGACTTAATAATATAAATATTCCTGGCTCGTGTATGTGTTTTTTTTTTTTTTTTTTTTTTTTTTGGTTTTTCGAGACAGGGTTTCTCTGTGTAGCTTTGCGCCTTTCCTGGAACTCACTTGGTAGTCCAGGCTGGCCTCGAACTCACAGAGATCCGCCTGGCTCTGCCTCCCGAGTGCTGGGATTAAAGGCGTGCGCCACCACCGCCCGGCTTCGTGTATGTGTTTTAATGTTAGTAGTAACTGGTACCAGCAAAAAGAATAGCAAAAGTCACATTAGCATAATTATACAGGTTTTTAACATTATAATTATTGTTGCTGTTATGCTTTAATGTGTTTATGTCTATATAGTACACAATTATAATTCATGAAAAAGCAGGTCAAAATTCTACATTTCGAACCAAGTAGTGGATTTTCTCTGTTTTTTTTTTCTCTCTCTCTCTAAACATGATTTCTTTTTTTAAATAGGATTAAAACTTTCAAGTTCAAAATGGGTGTGAAGAATAGAATAAAGGCAAAATAAATGCATTACTAAATTCCTTTGACAGCAGCTATCAAATAACCTCTAATGTTATCAATACTTTTAATATTGGATTTATATTTATTCTAAATTGGAAAAGATGTGAGCCAGGGCATGTCCTCCTGAGAACAGCCTCCCTAATAGTTTGTCTTTGGTGTCTTCCTTCCAAACAATTATGTTTATTTAATAGATCAGGCTGTGGTTCCTATTAACTCCTCAACAGTAAAACAGAAATACTTCTCCAAACTTTTACCTCATGGAAGAACTTGCTGGCCAACTAAGGAGAATGCAGTAAGCATCCACTCTTCAGCTATCAAATCATTCAAATCTGCCTCAAACACATAAAGCCTCTTCACTGGAGGTCATGCCCTTCCTAGGGCTCTCTGTACACACTGAGCAAGACCCAAGCATGCAGCCTAACACAGGATGCTCTAATTAATGGTCTTCACCCACCCTAGCTAGAGCTTCTATCTGGTTCAAGAAAGTTCGTGAAGCCAGCATCACCATTCAGTTTTTCCTTTACCAAAACTTCCTTCTGCCCCTCTTTATTCACAGGTATTGCTCTCTAACAAATATCTCTCACAACTGTTTCAGCACCTCCATCTGCATAAACCAATCTGTAACATCCTTAAGGCCCTAGTAAAGACTGCTAAATACAGATAAATTTGGAAAACTGTTGTGGGTCATAAAGATATACCATAAAAAGAAAATAAGGACAACCTAACATTCTCTTCCCAAAATGTGGGAAGAGAACTTATCCTTTCTAGGCCTTCCACAAGTCACCACCAGGCAGGAATGTGAGTGCTAGGTCTGTGCTAGTTTTTCACTGATGTGACAAACACCTGAGAAAACAGTGCTAAATGAGGAAAGATGATGTCTTTTGGCTCAGTTTCAGGAGTTTCAGTCCATGGTCACTTGGCTCCATTGTTTTAGGCCTGTGGTAAGGCCAAGTATCATGGCAAGGAGTATATGACAGATTAAGGCTGTTCGTTGGCCAGGAAGCAGAATGAGATAGAAGGGTTCAGGAACAAAATATATCCCTCAAACATTGGCCCCAGTGACCTATTTCCTCAAAATAGCTCCACCTCTTCACATGTCATTCAGTTACAAATTTATCAGTAGAGCAACCCATTTATGGGGTTAGCACCTTCATGACCTTCATGACCTAACAACCTCTCAAAAGAGCTACCAAATGGTGACCAAGACAACCAAAATAAGCCCCCTGCCCTCTTTAAAGTATTAGAGGTGAGCATGAGACATAGCTGCTGAGTATGAAACTCATAATTAAGTGATAATTAGAAAAGAGAAAACTAGACAAAAAAAAAAGAGAGGTCAAACTGATGAACAAAGAATGTGCAGATCTTTTCCAATTGCCTTTGAATTGCCATCAAGGTGAAAAGCCAAGGCCTTGCAAAGGCATTCCTTAGGAGTGAAATGGAGATAATAGTTAAATTTAGCCTAAATAGGAGCCTGGCCTTGGTCACTGTACTTCATGCTGAAATTACTCCTGTTAATACTAAAGCTTTATCATGATATGCGATGGAAGACACCTACAAATGCAAGTAGAAATTCTCTCCATCCATCCAAAGGTTTTCTTTCTACGGCTAGGCATGGGGCCTACCCTTAAGAGTGGTTTGTTCCCCAGTGAGACCTCCATGGAGAAAACTAATTTTTCATTTGCAAGTGGTTATCAATTGGAGATATCTTCTGGGTTAGGGATTGGGGCATGTGTCCATGTCTCCTTTCCAAAGGCTCTCTTAATTTAGCATCTAGTTATTGGGTCTTTGCAAACCCAATGGGAAGAGAAAATGGAAATTGTGATGTAAGCTTGAAAGGTACAAATAACTGCAGGAGAAACTAAACATCTTAGTAAGAGTTTCAAACACCCTCACGACTGTGAATTTTCCCTGCCATTTATGTATTCCATAACCTAGCTATTACTATTATTCTTACAACCTCCCAACTTACTTCTGAGACCTTAGTTCATCCAGAGTCCAGTGTAGCTAGAGTTT